CCCTTTTTTTGTAAACTTGGTAGGCAGGCTGGCTATTCCCATGCACAGGCATTGGTTTGCCGCAGCTCTTGGTCTTATCAATACCCCCCTGGTTAAGCTGGACCTTGCCCTCAAGGTCAATATGGGGGAACTGGTGTTGCAGTTGTAGATAGGGTTCCCATGTGACATCCTCTTCTGGTAGTTGTGACCACACAACTAAGGATTCCGAAACAATGTGGGAGCCTTTTTTGACCCATCTGAAATTAGTGATACACACCGGCTCTGTTTCTAGGTTCATATCACTTGAGAATTTTGGAAGATGTGGTTGAGTTATAGCCTCTGGTTTCAGGCATTTTTTGAGAACTGAGACATGGAAGACTGGGTGCACTCTTGAATCTGGTGGGAGATCCAATCTGTATGCAAGAGGTCCRATTTTCTCCAAGATCTTKAAGGGTCCAAAGTAGYGAGGTGCCAGTTTGTTCCATCTCTGTTTTTGTACAGAAAGCAACTTGTAGGGAAGAAATTTCAAGTAAACCATATCTCCAACTTGATAGTGTGCTTCCCTATGGTGTTTATCATATGATTGTTTCATCGATTGTTGGGCCCGGAGTAGGTTCTGTTTAAGTTCCTGTAGAATGCTGTCTCGATTTAGCAGGTGTTCTACTGCTGTGGAGCCCCTTTCATAGGGAATCAGTGCAGGTGATCACGACCATAAAATGCCCTAAAAGGGCTCTTCCCAGCCGATATTAGATAAGTAGTGTTGTACCACCATTCAGCCCAATGCAGCCAGCTGAACCATTGTCTCGGCTTTGTTCCAGTGAAACATCGTAGATATGTTTCTAAGCAACGATTGACCACCTCCGTTTGCCCATCTGACTGTGGATGGTAGCTTGTGGATTTGCTGAGCTGTACACCTTGGAGGCGAAAAAGTTCTTTCCAAAAGAGGCTGATGAAGTGGCTACTGTAACTGCAGTAAATGGATGTGACAGTGCTAAGAAGTGGCTGTATTTTGTAAGGCGATCAACCACTACTAATATAACTGATTTACCGGCAGAGGTCAGTAGGCCTGTTATAAAATCCATAGAGATATCTTCCCAAACTTGGTTGGGTATGGGTAATGATTTTAGCAGGCCAGCTGGGGATTGGGCCTCATACTTGCATTGTTGACATACCTGGCATGTAGATATGTATTTCCTTACGAATTTTTACCCTTCCAATAAAATTGGGATGACACTCTCTTATATGTGCGTAGGGCTCCTGAGTGTCCACCCATCGGTGTCACATGGAAGTAGTTTATGAGTTGGTCCAAAAGTGCTGAGTCCGCTGGTAACACCATTCTCCCTTTATAGTACAGCACTGACCCTTGGATAGAATACCACGGTTTGTCCCCTGTTTGTTGCAACAACTGTGTCTTTATTGCTTGGAGTTCCTTATCACTGTCGGCTGCCTCCCTTAGTTGGTCCCATAGTGCTGTCGTGGGTTGTTGGAACACCTGCAATTGGAGTATGCTCCCCACTCCATGTTTGGGTTGACGTGACAATGCATCCACAACCCTATTTGTTGCTCCCGGTTTGTATTCGATAGTGTAATCAAAGCCCATTAACTTTGAGACCCACCGCTGCTGATCAGGAGAAAGGACCCGTTTTTCCAATAGGAATTTCAGACTTTGGTGATCAGTCTTAATTACAAACTTACGGCCTAGCAGGTAGGAGCGCCAATGCTGAACTGCTAATACAACTGCCATCAATTCCCGATTGTAGACTGAAGAGTGGTTTTGTGTGATGGATGATGCCTTACTGAAGAAGGCAAGGGGCTGACCATCTTGCATCAGCACTGCTCCCACGCCCAGTCCCGATGCATCGCACTCAACCACAAATGGTTTGTTGAAATCCGGTAAGACTAGAGCTGGTGGGGATGT